GGGAGAGGGTGAGAATAAGTTCCTGCTCTGAGCCTTTCGGGCAGAGGCACTGGATTGGGAGGGCCTTGGGACCATGCTGCCAACCCAAAGGCAATGCCCAGTTTCGAGTAAGCTGGTGCTCCGAGCACACTGCACCATGTGGTGTGACTGCAGCCAGGAGTGGCCAGGGAAGACTCTTGTTCAGGGCCATGCAGTGGGGGGAGTTCAGGCCTGGCAAAGGAAGAGAAGGGGACAAGACCAATGGAAGAGGACTCACCTCAGTGAATGATACCACTTTGCCTCCCAAGCTGGGAACCTGGATCCCAGGATTTCCCTTCTGTCAATCACCCTGCCCAGGCCTGTGGATTTCCCTCTGTGCTTCTGCTCTCCCTCTCCCTCATCTGTCCAGATTCAGACCCATCATCACGCACCTGGTCTCCCCAGTTGTCCCAGTCAACCTTCTACAAACCCAGTCATGCTAAGTCCATTTGATCCCTTAGGGCGGAGAGGGAGTCAAGTGCAGACTACTTAGATATACATGAAGTCGGCCATACCTGGTCACTCATCTTCTCTTCAGCCTCGTCCCCTGTCCCTCCCTTGGTCCCATACACGAGCTATGAAGAAGGCCTTCTTACATTCTCCCAGACTCTCCATGCAACTTCACACGGGCCCTTTGCTCCCCCTCATCCCTCCATCTAGAATGCCTTCTCCCCTCTCTCCCTTTCCTCTTCATGTTTGGCCCAATATTCCATGGTCTGTACTGCATTCTCTCACTGGAACACAAAAACCCAGCTGAGGTGATGCAGACACTAGACTGATCTGTGAAGAACAGAGGGTGTGAGTAGGGCAAGAGAAGGTTGTAGGCTGGGTTGAATTCTCAGGGGCACTCCGATCTCCTTAGTGGGGAGTAGGACCTATAGCCAGACCAGTCCTGTGGTCAGTGTGCAGCCCTGACGAGAGGACCCAAAGAATCTTTAACTCAAGAGACACAAGAACCAGGGCCATGAAGAAGCAGGTGCTGAGAAGGCCCCAGTGAGGCTGAACAAAGGCAACCCTCCCGCAGGAGTGGGTGAGAGATGTAGTGGCCCCTTTACCCTGCCCCGCATGGCTGCCCTACATGTCTGAGGGTCGACTCCTTGGGGTCAGGGCCACATCTCACTTCTTCTCTTCATCCCACATAAGGCTGAACACAAAGCACCCTGGGGTAATTATTTGCTCAGTGGATAATAGAGTGAATGGCTGTTGAGTTAACTCATGCCACAGAAAGGAAGTTGCCTCTCCTCTCAGCTTGGTTTTGGTTTGTGTTAGTTCTGTTTGTTGAAGCTGGGAAGGGGTGGGGCTCTTGTTTCTGATGCTCTCCCTGAGTGTTTGTTTGAGTCACCTTGCTCTCCTTAGAGGTTTGAAGTAGGGAGGAGTTACCCAACCAAATACTTGGCTCTGCCTCCTCTGAAGTTTCCTGTGGAGTCCTTTCCCTCCCCACCTTCCCTCCCTCTGCCAGTCCCCAGCTCTGTTCTTGCTTTGCCTCAGTGAGAGGAGTTATTAGCCCAGAGCAGGTGCAGGAAGTGCCCCAGCCTGCAGTGCCCTCTGGGGGCTGTTTGGTGAGGACAGACCGGTTCTTACCAAGACCCTGATGCCCCATTTTTACCCACCCAATCTGGCCAATCTTCCTTCTTGACATTCTCTGCATTTGGGGCCCCATTCTCTCAGCTTCCACTTCCGAGGCAGACCTCTGATTTATTAAACCGGGTTAGGGTTCCATTCCTTTAGCTGAACTTGATGCATGCTGGCTCTTATACCACGGAGGTAAGAGCTGAGCTCATGTTTGCAGGGAATGAGTCAAAACACCGACTCTAGTGGAAGATGATTAGGGAAGAAGATGGAACCTGATGCTAAATTCTCTGCTAATGTTTGAAAAAGGAAATAGAAAGTAAAGATCTGTCTTCTTGGCCAAGAGAAATGATGGCCAAGAAGAGAGATTAACTTTGGACTCTACTGATGAGTAGTTAAGTCAAGATAGCCCTGGAGATGGAACAAATAATTAAAATTTACTATAATTTGGAAAACAAAGACTAAATAAAATCAGGAGGAAATAACAGTAACTCATCTTGATTGAACTGTGGCCATTTTCTTCACAAAACAGACTGAGAGCTGCATCTGTCCTAGATTCAGACCCTCAAGTGCCGGTCTGTGAGCTGAGCAGAGACCACGGCCCCTGAAGCCACTCACTCATTCCTTCCTTGCATCACTGATGGAGCACCTGCCACATGGGCACTTACTGAGTGCCTTCTGTTCTGGTGCCTTGGCCCAGCAGGGAGAAACAAGCATTTCTGCCTTACTGAGCTTACAGTCCAATGGTGGTGCAGGGGAAGGGTGGGGGAAGCAGGGAAACTGTGGAAAACCAGGTGAGTACAGCTACAGATTGCATATTTTGGGGTGCTATGGCAGATGAATGCAACAGGAACAGTGGTGGGTGGGGTGGTGGTTTGAAGATAGAGGACACAAATTTCAGAAACAAATCAGAGCTGTGGGCTGGTGGCCTGGAAGTACTTTCTGGTTGGTGTAGTCCTGAGAACAAAGATTATACCAGCAGCAGGATAAGAATGGCTTAAAGGCCCTTTTTTTCATGTAGCCCCATTATAAACACCTTTCTGAATCCGTTCATTCTTGATTGTGGCTAACAGACCCCGTCCCTCTGACCATGGGACCCAATGGGGTTCTTCCTTCAAAAAGCTCGGATCCATTACCTGCTCTGTGACAAGCACCACTCTAGGTACTGTGGATAAAGTGGTGTGCAGATGAAGTCCTGGCCTTTGTGGAGCTTGTGTTCTTGGGGGGAGACAGATGATAAGTGGTAGTGACATACACATACAGGTGGACATAGAGCGTCTGATGGTGTCATTCATTGAAGTCAGAAGGGGATCCTTGAGCAGAGGTGGGGCAAGGACTCCAGGCAGAGGGAAGAGGAGGCGCCAAGGCTCCCAGTGGGGTTGCTCCTAGCATCTGAGGAAAAGCAAGGAGAGTGGGCAGGATAGTGGGGTGGGGGCAAGAGAGTAGTTCCAAGATGGGCAGGGAGCAGGGCCAGGTTGTGTAGGCACTATAAGGTCTTTGCATAGCATTCATGGATGAAAGGAAGCCCTTGCAGGGTGCAGAGCAGGGGCATGTTGTGGTCTGCCTGGTGCCCTGGCAGGACTACTCTGGCTGCTGTCATGTGGGGAAAACATGGGAGGAGGATATATGGGAGACATGGGGGGTTACAGGAAGCTGGTAGCAGTGGTCAGGTGGGGGTATATTTTCAGAGGGCTCAACCTGGTGGCCTCAACAGAGTGCAAAGTGGGCAGGACCCAGGCTGGGCCCATCGGAATGCAAGCTTGGGGTGGTTGGATGCTGCCAGATGCCTTGCCTCTCAGATGGCCTGTGATGTGCATGATGAGGTCCAGCAACTGAGTGACGCAACCTGACATGGGAATTGAGTGTCAAAGGTTCTTTGATCTAGAACATCGCTTTACATATATTTGGTTAGAAAACTGTGGCCAAAAGATGCTGGAAATTACAACCTGTCCAACATGAGGTCAATTACATTTGGGTTTCCAATAAAGCAGCGAGTATACTGTTCCTACTTAACATCTATTTTAGGCAGATTAGAAGATATAAACTTATTTCAAAAGTTTCACAGCTGACGGGTAAAGACCAAAGGCAGCATGCCAAATGTCCAAGCTAATTGCTGGACCCTGTTTGGTTTCCACTTGCTTTTTATTTGGTTGCCTGGTTGGCTGACACCACAGATCCTACTAGGCAGGTAAGGAAAATGCACAGCTCACAGACGAGGAACTTTGTGGGGGATCACTAACTGGCTTGATTCCAGAGAAAGGACCAAGGCAAAATCCCGACCCAGTCCTCAAGGCCAATGGTGTTCTCTTGGGCAGTGAGCATGTCATTAGAAGGGCCAAGTGGGCATTTTCCAAAGGCCTTTCTGCCCTGAGCTCCTCCTGCAGGCAGTTACAGGCATCCCAGCACCCGCAGTGTAGGGAGGGGATGTGAGGAGTGGTCGCTCAGGTTGAACTCAGGAGTGTCTCCTGTGATGCCAGTCAGCAAGAAGAGAAAGCTGTGCTCTGCTCCTGGTGCTGCCACCGGGCACCAAAGCGGTTGGTCCCGGCTGTTTTTGTAGCAAATCAAACAGGAAGTGAAGGTGCTGGGTGGGATGCACTGTAGGGAAAAGACTAAGGCAGGGCTGGGAGGTGTCACACAGGGCAAAGGGTTCTGGTTAGTAGGTTTGGGAAACACCAGGTGGGCAAACTCAGATTTTATATTTTTAACCTTGAGTCTTTCCAAGGCCTTACTATGCACACGTGCCTAGGGACTCCCCAGGAGAGTGGTAGTAGGCACAATCTCCCAGAGATACCTGGTAAGGGCCCTTGGGGGACATACGCTTCACCTGCAAGGGAAATGCTGACAGGAGTGGAGTCCTTATGATGGAGCAACTGTCTGTGCTGTGGCTGTTGTAGTCACGGGAATGTGAATTCACATTCTACCCCAGGACACACAGGACAGGGGCTGGGGAGGGCCAGCACGGCTTCTGAGAGGTGGGAGAAGCAGCGAGAAGTCAGTGAAGTAGCTTCACATCAAAGTTTCTTGGAGAGAAAACTGGTGGGTATGCTGGGATTGAGTAAGAAGCTTGGCTTTCACATGCTGGGTGGATGGCATGCCATTGGTATTTTCTGGGCAGAAGGACAGGTCAAAGACTTCCCCAGGAAGATTCCTTTGGCAATGGTTTTGAAGGAAGAAGGGAGAGACGAGATGATTCTGAGCAGAAGGTAGGGTGGGGGCAGGTGGGTCACGGCCCTTTGCTTTTGGGTACACAGGCATCAAAATTCCAGGGGGCTCAATCCCACCACCTGCAAACAGAACCATGTGCTGCCTTCCAGCCTTCTGCTAGCTCATGAGAGTGGGTCCAGTGTTATCAACTCCACCAGGAACTGTCCAGCCTCAGCATGGATGACTAAACAAAATGACATCAGATACTCCATTCTTATTATACTCCTTTACTGCAGCATAAAAAGAGAACTGAAGCATTTTACAAATGTCAGGGCTGCGACAAATTGTGCATGTTTTTTCCAGACACTCCTGTGCCACGTCCCCGCAGTAAACCACCCAGACACTGCCAAGAGCTAATATTTCAGATAAGTAGAAACAGGGATCAGATGCTATCTGCAATTGTGTCAGAAATTTCTGAGAGATCAGGTATATTGCAACAACAGTTTAAATGTTGTTTAAACTCTCCAAATTAATTCCTACAGGGAGAATGAGTAAGTAAAACATTCTGTTAAGCTTCAAGACCTTCAGGCAAGTAGAACTGGACGGTGGATGAGGGGGCATATATGAAGAGCTGATGGAACCACAGGTGACTGAGTCACACCTGGCTCCTAGGACAGGAGCTCACAGCTCTGAACCAGAGGCGGCCCCACCAGGAGTCCAACTCGGGCTCTGGCTTGCAGAGCCGCTGGACATGTGGAGGCTAATTCCTGAAATCAAGAGGCCAGGATGGAGATGTGTTTCTCACTAAAGGGACAAGAATGTGAGCTCTGCTCACCTTTTTCTGGCTTCCCCTCATAGATGGGCCTGGACAAGCCATGCAGTGAAAGGGGGCTGACCATCTACATAGGACAAAAGAGAACAATGAGGAAGCTGAGCCGGAGGGGTTTCTACCCTTCCATAAAGCAATGCCTCAGGCTCCTCCCATATTTGACAGTGAACTATAAAGATGCCTTTGATTCCTTGGAGTTTTTGAAATGCTGATATGTGCTGGGGGTGGGCAGGGACTGGCAGTCCAGTCAGAGATTCCCTAGGCAACCATTTGGAATTCTTCCTCCAAACGGCATGCAACAGGCCATCCTTGGTATTCTGTTATCGTCTGAGGGAATATGCGGTTGAGAACATGTATGGAGTAGAGAGAGCTGGAACTGGGGACCCTGGCTCACTCACAGGGAAGGGGGTGCTGCAGCCAGCAGCATGCATGTCCTTTGACATGGTCCTTGAGGGACCTGAGGCCACAGAACCACAGATACCAGAGAATGAGTGCTCACCTTGAAAGGTCTGGTGGCAGGTGGGGCTGTGTGTGTGGTGGGGGGCAGACAAGGAGGAGGTGCACCTGTTCATCTATATGAGGAAGAAGAAAACCAAGAGGGGTGGGGCTGGAGAAGAGATATGTAAAGACCCTCAAAGAGAAAAATATTCCCTCTTTGTGTTAATCAACTGAGCTAAACCATTTCTTACTTGGGGAGCATTTTGTATATCATCATTTAAAAAATTTGCCATATGACCATTAACCACCAAATCATTTTACAACCTTCTACTAAATCCTGGTAATTCTCTCATTCCAGAATTACCAACAGTCTTGCCTAACAGCAAAGGGGGAAAGTTGTGCGTCTCCAGGTATGTTTTTGCTTTTTCCCACATGCCATTGTGATTTCAACCCTGAGGTTCTCCCCTGTCACTCTTCCCACCTGGTGGTGGCTGCTTACAGGTGAGCATGAGCAGCAGGAGCAAGGGCAGATGCCAGAGGCTGCAGAAGAACAGTCTCCTGGAACTCTTCCGGTCTGCATCCACGTAGAACCGGAAGCTGAGGTAGGAAATATACATGTTGATGGGCAGCGAGATGGCGGGGAAGGTCCACGTGGTAACATCCAGGATGGGGGCTGCTGTGCACAGTCCGATCAGGGCCAGGCAGTGGCGCAGGGCTACGCGCCGGCACAGGGCTGGGTGGGTGACCGACATCATGCAGTAGCCCCCTCGGGAGTAGTCCTCTCGGAGGCCCCAACTAAGTGCGTTGAAGTGAGGAAACTGCCAGGAGTACAGGATTCCTCCCAAGAGACATGCTCCTGAGCAAGGGTTAGAGACAAAGGGAGGCAAAGATGTGTCATCAGAAACTTGACAAAGGCACCACTTGTCTCACCCTGCAGCCTCCCCAGCCCCGAGGCGCTCTGTCCCATTTCACTGGATCTCAGACTCTCTTCAGGCTCTGCTCTTAGCTCTGCTTGCCCAATGTGGCCTCCCATCTGCGACAGGCAGGGTCAAGGAGCCGAATGCCCTCCAAGACTCCCCACCCCCAGCTTTCCACCTCAGCAGAGAGATGCCTGCACTAGGCATGCCTGGCTTCCTAGGTGGGCTGCCCCACTGTAGGACTGTGATCACCTGAGGCTCCTGCCCAGCACTATGACAATGTAAGAAGCCCCTACACACTTGCAAACATGTTTACAGTGGGCTGCCCCAGTGGGACCTCTGCTGGGCTTTCAGCTCTGTGCCCACACACTGGGCCTTGCCAGAGGGTACTTCAGCAGGCTCAAGGACACTCCAAGCCCCCCTGGCTGAGCTCCCCAAGGTCCCGCCTCAGAGCTGTTGGCAGCTCCCTGCTCAGCAGTGACAGAAAAGGTATATAGCTCCAGGCCTGCCTGGGGACTCTGGTTTTTGTCTGTGTACCTACCAACAATTCTACCAGGGACTGGTGGAGCCCCAGGCTGGGTGCCTGGCACATGGCTCTCCAATTCCCCAGAGCCTGCATGATGTGGCAGGCAGAAGGCACTAAAACAGCATGCGTTAAATGAACAGACTGGCACAAAGGACCTGGGTTCCAGGGTAGAATAGTAACCTGTCTGTAGGTTTTGCAGTTTTCCAACAAGGACATGTTAGTACCACTTGAGCACCACTTAGCCCTTTTCTCTAGAGCAGGACCTCCCCACACCTGCACAGGTGTAGTGAAGCCTGCCATTGACGGACACTGTTATGTGAGACTTTACAGTTGACCTCATTTAATCTGGACCATAGGATTTCAGGTGAGTTTCATGCTCATTAAACAAACACACACACAAACAAATCAGATGATGACACATTCTCCAAAGGTGAAGGAGGAGTTCGAAAGGAGCCTGTCTCATACAAAGACTGGGCTCCACTACACTAAGCCACCTCCCTCGGTGTCAGGCAGGGTCCACAGTCATACTGAGTAAGAGATTTATTACTCATTCAGTCACGCAAACATGTCTACTGAGTGCCCTCAGTAGAGTGCAAGCACTGGGGATGAAACAAAGCCATGTGTCCCCGCAGCACTGAGTTCCCATCATCTCTCCAGAGCCACAGGAGTGAACGCCCGTCAGCACTTCCTCGCTGTGCAGATAGACGTGCAACGCCGGCTTGCAGCACGAGGTCAGGAGGCTGGGGGAGACTGCTGTGAGGAAGGGCATCTGAACTGAGCTCCCAGGGAGAAGAAGCCTAGTCCGGAGAGGGCTCTGCATGGGACTTAGGGCAGGGAGATGTGCAGTGCAGTGAAGTACTGAAGGGACATGAGTCCGGTGGTAGGGTTTATAGAGCTCTGCGACAAAAGGGAAAGGGTCAATTTTACTGTTTGACAATTTACAAAATGAAATAAAAAAGGAAGGCCCACGTGGCTGCAGTGCAGAGAACAATGGGAGCGCTCCCCTCAAAGCAGCAGTCACAAAGGACCTTTCCATGTAAGAACATGTGAGCCTGTGCGGGGTCGGGGGTGCCAGGAAAGGAGTGCTGGTGAAGAACACACCTGAGAGGCTCAGAGCAGGTAAGAAGGATCCATCAGGAGATGAGATGAACGTGGTAGAGCAGACACAGACAGAGCCTGCACTAGCATGGGATTCGGGTGGCGGCAATGACAGACCATGTGCACAGAGATCAGGAGCAGGAGAGGGAGCATCAAGGGCAACGCCTAGGCTGGGAATCCCTGGCAATGAGGCTCACTGAGAGGATGTACAGGGAAGTAGGGAGGGAAGCCCATGAAGGTGACCTTGGGTGAGCGCTGAGGGAAGACATCCGGGAGAGTGGCTGGGGTGGCTGTGGGAGGGTCTGGCCAGGATGCGTACCCAGAGCTGAAGCTGTGCTGAGTATCCTGTCCATGTCTCCTAGCTGACTGTGGACAACTCCTTAAGCATGTGTTCCATCTTCATGTCTGTGGAGGTGGAGTACAGGAAGTACTCAGTACTCCTGCAGTGGAGGTCCTGAGACTCCTCAGTGGAAACCCCATGTAAAAGGAGGAGCTGCTTTAGCAACAATGGCGTCTGGGCCACTGTTTCCAGCACTGGTATGTGAGACCCCCTACAGCCAACTATCAGGACCTGGTCCACTCCCCACCCTCTCCCTCTGCAGAGGGTCTTGGGTGCTCTGACTCTCAGCCGTATTTCTGACGCCTGGGGGTCCCTGATCAGAGAACTGACAGTTTATGACCAGTGTCATCTACCTAGGGAAGTGCTGTTCCACACAGACAGGCTGGGAACTTGTAGCCACAGTCCTGTTTCAGGTAATCAGGCTCCTTGAAGATGCAGTCCCTGCATCTGTGGGACTGTTCAGAAAAAGGATGGGGCTATGGCTACCACAGAATTCACCAGATGGAGAGTGGTTTACATGACTCAGAATCACTGAGAAAGTCAGTCTGGGCTCTACAGTCCAGAAGGGCCCCTGTTGTGCAGGAGCTGGTGAGGGTGAGAAATGGGCCCCTCTTTTAATCTCTCCTCTGTCTGCCTCAAGAGAGCGAGCTGCAGAGGGACACCAGGGGCAGGCTTGGACGTCATCTGAAAGAAAGAACAGCGATTTTCATTCACAATGTTCTGGGCAGGGCCATAGCCATTTCTGAATGAAGCGTAGCAGGCAGCTGTAATGAGGGGAGGAGGACTTGCATGGGTGTAAAGGCCGAAGAGGGATGGGCCTGCTTTCAGCCCCCGGGACAGCTTCCTGCCCATTCCTGTAAGTCAACTGAGTCTGTCCAATGTGGAAGGAAACAATAAAGCCTTGATTTTAGGGTTCCTTTTCAGTAAAACCCCCAAATCTGTGTGAATCCTATCTATAAATAACATATAGACATATCTTAGTTCATGCAAACACACTGCAATTTTAATGCCAGTACTAAGGGAAGGAGCTGCTATTTGCTGACTCCATGGGTAGGTGGGTGACGGGGGTCACCACATGAACACCCAATTCTGGGTGCTAGGAAGGTGGTGGCCACCAGGATAAGCCCTGCTTAAAGTTTAGAGGGGCAGACAGACATAAACACAAGCAACAGCAATGAGCGTTATTTACTGAATCAAAACCAGGTGACAGTGTGGTTGGCTACTCAGGGAAGGCTTCCCAAAGGTGACATTTGAGCCATGACCCAACTGACTGGAAGCAGAATTCTATCGAATCCTGGGAGGAGACACTGCAGGCCTGTCTGGAGGGCATGGAGGCTGGAGTAAGGGAAGGGAAGCTACCGGATGGGCCTGGGGATTCGGCAGGACTGGCCCCAGCAAAGCAGGTCACCACAGGAAGGTGGGCCACGAATGGCAGGAGACAGTGAGGAGTGCTGAGGGGGGCTGACCTGATGACTTTACTTAGGTGGTGCAGTCTGGGGACGTGCACAGGTGAGTGTGCTCCTGGTGGGGACATGAAGAGTCCTGCTTCTGGCGTTCCAAACTGTCTCCAGGACATCCCAGCTAACTGCCTCATGGCTGTCGTGCCCTGGGCCCTGGGTAGAGGAGCTCTGCCCTTGTGCATGCTGTCCAATGCTCACAGCACCCCTTCCTATAGGGGGGTTTACTCTCATAGGTGAGAAGATGAATCAACTTGCCCAAAGGTGTTCAGTCCAGTGACCCAGCCCTTCTAGAAAACTGCTGCCACGTATTGACTCAAATTAGTAACATCCAGCTGCTAGGTGGTGGTGATCCAAACGCCAGTGGAGCTGAGCAGAGGGATACGTGTTGGGAGAAGAAACTGCAGAGGTGCTTTCCCAAGAGTCCTGGTGCCTTCAAAACAGTTGGTTTCAATCACAGGCATACCTTGTTTGACTGTGCTGTGTAGAGACACTGCAGTTTTTACAAATTGAAGGTTTGTGGCAACCCTGCACTGAGCAAGTCTATCAGTTCAGATGATGGTTAGCATTTTTCAGCAATGAAGTATTTTTAAGTTAATGTGTGTGAATTGCTTTTTCAGACATAATGCTAGCGAGCAGGCAACAGACTGCAGTGTTTCTCCTGACAGGGAGTAGCCTTGGGGGAGCAGAGGGCACAGAAGGGCAGTCTGGACCATCCAGTCACAACTGAATAGTAAGCAGGGGGACGACAGACTGTTCCTTGTATTTTGATAGAAACATTGGATGCTCTCTGGATTTTAAAGGGACCAGTGCAGAGGAAGTGCTGTTAGAGACTCTCAGGACATTGGGTCACCGTGAAGCTTTGAGGGCAAGGTACATGGTACAGCCGACCTGCAGCTCACCAGCCGTCCCATGTCCCAAAGGCCGGACTGCATTTCCACCTGCAGTTATGACAGAAGCACAGGAAACCGACAAGACCAAGATGTGTCCAGTTGAGAACCTCAGCGATGAGTGAGAAACAGGGAGGGAGCACAAGTCAGAGCTCAGTATCTGTTTGGTTACCAAAGTGGCTGAGAAAAAGCAACGTCAGCTGGGAAACCGGCTTCTAACTGGTGAAGGGATCAGGCCCAAAGGGATTTTCCTTGTCTTTTCCCAAAGCTCTCTTTTTAGTGTGCCAACTGGAGTATTCCATTTTGCTCAATACACATTTTTCAGTTATGCTTCTGCTTAAAACAACAATTTAAAAAACCATTTTTATAGGAGTTGCACACTGCTTTCCGTGAGAGAGGAGATTGGGTATGGGTTTGGCTCCTGTCACAAACCAAAGAGCTTTAGAAATCACAGCTTAGCCTGAACAGACTGTGATCAGAACAACAGCCCCCCACACGGTTCTACTTGATGGGCTGCAACTGACTCTGCTCATCCACATGGTGTAAAACAAATTACTCTCTCTATCAAGATAAAGTGGAAGAGAATAGGAAGACGTGAAGTGGTCAGGGGGCGGGGTGCCCACCTTCC